GGTATGTTGACCAGAGCAATTTTTCGAGTAAATATCTCTCTGGAGAGAAGTCAACGAATGTGGTTACATAAAGAAGTGTGGTTTCATCCGCATATGGTGTGATCCATACCATAATATGAAGCATCACGATCAAACGGTAGAGATGTGTCTATGGAGGATAATATATGTTTCCTATTTTGCTCTTAAATTTTCATAAATTCCTATTTTGGTTTTTAAAGTATATTAAAGACACAAATATTCATGTCAAGACGTTTGTTAAGATAAATTGATAACCATCATGGGATGACCCAGTGGTCGGTCAATGTAAATAATAAAGGGCTTAGAGGGAATAGGTTCAATGTATGAATAAATAAACAATTATGATACTCCTCGAAGAAATTCATATGAGTTATTTAGATGAGTTCATCGTTTGCAACTTCAAATAATTGAAACCAACTATTTTAGTTTGAATTACTCTTTATACGAATATATTCAAATGTATCTCTATTGTATAACCTTAGATTCCATATGAATCTAATTCATATTAATTATTAATGGAACCATATTCAAATAATTTTTTCATAATATATAGTTTAATTTTTTAATCTTTATTCAAAATAAACTATGTATTTAATCATCGCTATATACAATATATACATTCTCTTATTTGAATTTGAACGTTTTAATTTTTTTCATAAATTCTTGATCCTCGTTTTATCCGTTGTGAGCTAGCAAAGGGACCTAATGGGACCTATAAATCAGAAACTCCAACCATACGAGATTTATTGATCAACATTCGTTAACTACGAGTCACTCCACTGAAGACCCACAACTGCACTCTTCTCACGATAGAACATTTCGTGTCCATGGAAATCGACCTATCAAATTATCGTTTTACCCATGAGTTACATCTTGCACTTTTTAAGTACCACTACTCCTCTAATGAATAACTTGTTTATGGTTCGACCATTAAACAAAAGTCTCTCTCGGGTCCGTGAGAGAATTAGACCCCAACATTTAAAGGAACACTTATCTACTTATCTATCGGGAATGAGTGAATAGTAAAATAATTTTTTATTAAATAAATAAATTTTTTATTAATTACAAACACACGAGCTAATGACACAAAATCCAACCATTATAAATTAGAAAAGAAAGAAAAAAGCTCAATAAGTTAGACATAATTTTTAAAAAGTAAAAAAAAAATGTTATGAGAAGATATATCTACGGAACCTAAATATTTTCCTTAAAAAGAAAATCCAACAGGCATGCAAAAAGGAGAAAAGTGACCCTACCCAAAAAAAAAAAAGTAACGTTTTTTTTTTCTTTTCTTGAAAAAAAAAAAGTAGCGTTGACCAAATGATTGAAACATTTTCAATTTTTGGCCCTTTTACTTTATTACAAAGTAAAATTAATTAATTAAGGTGTGAGATGCCAAGTCCATTGTGGGGCCAATTTAAAAAGAGATGATATTTTTTTTTAAAATTAATTTAAGAGGTTATACTTTTTTTTAACCGGTTACTGTATGCTCATGTTTACATTTCCCAAATAATCAGTACAAAAAATTGAACAAGATGTAATCAGTATCTAATACATTAAACTATGGTTCGAATTGGCAACCCAAAATTATCTAACAAAGACTACAAAGAAGCATAATTCAAAATACAAAAATTTAATGTTAAATTTTTGAAAGTTTATAAATTAAATTATTTTTTTAGTACAACATGTGGGGTGGGAGATCGAACTCACAACTTCTTTATTACAGATATATGTTAATTACCACTAAATTATGTTCATCAAAGCTTAAGAAACAAATGTGTAACTTAACTTATCATTAATTACTAATCAAATTAACTCAGTTGGGTTTAAATCTAACTTTGGTGTAAACTTTGATGCATGTTATTCTATTTTGATCTCAAAATTCTCAAATCACTGCTACAAATTTTGGAATAATATGGAATAAAAAATAAAATATATATATTCTCTAATGATGTGTTTATGCATCTTGACAGGAAAAAAAAAGTATGTATAGAGTTGGAATATTATAATTTTCTTACGAATTTATGAATATTGTAGCGTTGGTTTTCAGATTGATAGTGTTAATAGTATAGACTAGATGAGCTAAAATATATGGCAAGTCCTTATTTTATGAGAATGACATGTGGCTCTCAATCAAGTGAAACTAAAATTTTCCTCCTCGGATTTGGAATGACAATTCGAACCGACCTCATCTTTCTTTTATTTATAACCCAGCTCTCTGGTCGAGCTAACCGGAGAGCTGACCAAAAGACACTCCGTCGGGATTCACTTTCCGACATATTCTGCGACAACACGCTGTCGTCTTCAAAAACCTTAAAGAGCCGTTAGGGTTCTGTCGGAAGTTCCGCTTATAAATACAAACCTCCTATCTCGAATATAGCTCGACCATCTATTGACTTAGACGTGGGAGTGTCTTCTGTTTTGCAGGTCCCTGCTCTACATACCTCGAGCTCGTTTTCCAGGTCATCCATCACATGAGACGAGGTTCGTTAGCTTGGTCAGTTTTCTAACAATTCTTATTGTATTTTACCACATATCTTAAACATTAAGAGACTACAAAGTGATGTAAAGTTCTTTTTTTTAAGAAATAAAAAAATATAAAACACAGTATAGATTCAATAGACACTAAATTATTATAAATAGACTGAATAAAGTTAGTAACCATGAATAACTCAAAAATAAAGTTAGTGCTAAAATTTAAAAATGTAGTCAATTTAGATACAATTTATCAAGACATTAGAAATTAGTAATTCCTATGTGTTTTTCAGTACCAAATATTGTAGCATCAGATAATTATCCCATAAGATTAGTTGAGATACGTGTAAGATGATCCAGACATTGAAAAAAAAAAAACACATTTGGGTAGCAATTTTCTTCTAAAATTAAATCTACACCTTTTTTTCTTTTGAGAATATCCCCCTCTTATTTTTAATATTAAGAAATATGTATGATTTTTATATCAATTTATTATCTAACTTTTTATTTTCTATATTCTTTCTTTCTTTCTATTTTTTTATTTTTTTTATTATTTTATTACCTTTTTATTTATTATTATTATTATCATTATTTTTTTGCAATCTTCTTATTTCGACATTCGTGTATCTAAAATCGTAGATAGATGACTTAGATTTTTCCTTTTTTATTTTTCTTTTGTCTCTTTCTAAAATTTGTCTTGAAAAATGTGATTTCACTGACAAGGCACCATACTTTTTTCCTTTCCAAATATGATTAACATGTAACCTTCCTTGAAAAAATATACATATATATCCCATAGATTTAAACTTACTATATTTTTTCGAAAATATTTTAATTAATTGAACTAATTTAAGTTTCATCTACTCCTCCAAAATTAAAAGGTCTGAAAAAATATAGAAGTAACAATTTAATTCATTCACTCCATTGTTTCCTATTAAAATCTAAAAATTAAATTATTATTTAAAATATAAAAAACTACAAATGTTGGCCTCTCAATTTTACCAAGATGCTGATAAACATATCAATATCAATAAAATCAAGAAATTCATTAAAAAGATCATTTAAACTAATAAACAAACATTTCTCTCACTCTTTAAATAAGTTGAGAAATTCTCACCAGTGATAGTAATATTAAATTTACATCAGGCGACTTTACAATGAAAAGTGAAACCAACAACTCATTCTAACTCAATGTCTAACCCATGAATATGTATTCAATTTAATATTTTAAATGAAAACGTCACTCTTAAATGTGTTAGAAATTACCAACATGAGCTTAGTTCAACGATAATTGACATCTGTTTCTGATCCAGAGATCATAAGTTCGAATCTTCCGCTCCAATTGTTATACTAAAAAAAATGCTGCTAGAAATTATTAGATGTCAACACAAATTTAATATCCTCTCCTCATCCAAAGTATTAAATTTATGTTTAGATGTCGACATTTCAATATATATAGTGAGGAGTGAGCGACACTTCCATATATTATTGAATTTTTTTTTGATAAAATATAAAGAAAATATCTCTAATTTGAAACATAATATTAATATTATGAAAAAGGAAAATTGATAAAACATAAAGAAAATATCTCATCTGAAACGTGATATTAATATTAATAATTTTAAAATTATTTAAAAAGATGAAATATTTATTTGTTATGAATTTTTTACTTTTTAACATTTTTAATTGAGACATCAATATTTCTATCGACATTTAGAATTTTGTTCCTGCCAAGGTTTTAAATGTCGATATTAATGGAAATGTGGAGGTCTCAATATATATAGAAATATTAATGGAAATATCGATCAAATGTCAATGTTGATCAATATTTTTAGAAGGGTTATAAAAATAAAAATTCGTAAAAATTATTTAAATCGAACAAATAAGTATTTTATCATTTCTAAATAAGTTAAAAACAATTGATACGTCTATATTAGTTGCAACGAGGGTGAAAAGGTAGACTGCCACGCTGAGCAGCCTAACAAGGTAGGCCAACCTAGTGATCAACTAGGTCATCCTCGCTCAGTCGTTGCCATCATTAGCATGCAAGAAAGACACTTGACTGAGCGTGGTTAGCGCCAATCACCAATCTGGCCACCAAGATCTGCAGAGGGAATCTCATCCTTCTTAATTAACCAATTCGTCTTCACCTATAAGTAGGAGTTGGTAATCCATTACCAAGGTATGTTCGAATCTCTTCTGAATATACTATACTCATTCTCCAACCATATATTAACTTAGACATCAGAGTGTTCACTTTTGTTTTATAGGTCACCCGACACACGGAAGGGATAAGCCTTATTATTTAGACGGACATTTCCATACACAAACATTATTAGTTATATTTTGTTAATATTCTTTTATATTTTATCGACTTTTTTATCATACCATAAAAACATCGAATTACCCCAACACATAAAAATGTAGATAAAAATATCGACGTGTCAACAGAAATCTCGGATATGCTACAAAATAGGAAAACAAAAGAAGATATGATGGAGGCAAGGCAAAGCATTACCACTAGCACTACATGCGCAGTTTGTCTCTCTGTGCCAGCTTAGCTTTTATAGCTTCTCTCTCTCATCCTCCATTATTGCTCTCTCTCTAAAAACTTGCAATCACATCTTTTCTTCCACAATCCTCTCCCCATAATCTTCATTCTTTGATTGATTTTTGTTTCCAAACGAAAGCAGAGGAATCAATCGGAGCCAATGTCGTCGTCGGACGATGAAGGCGGCGAGGAGTACCTGTTCAAGATCGTCATAATCGGAGACTCCGCCGTCGGCAAATCCAATTTGCTCTCTCGCTATGCTAGGAACGAGTTCAATCTCCACTCCAAGGCCACCATCGGCGTCGAATTTCAGACTCAGGTTATGGACATCGACGGCAAGGAGGTTAAGGCTCAGATTTGGGACACCGCCGGCCAGGAGCGGTTCCGCGCCGTCACCTCCGCGTACTACCGTGGCGCTGTCGGTGCTCTCGTCGTCTACGATATCAGCCGCCGCTCCACTTTCGACAGTGTTGGCCGATGGCTCGACGAGCTCAAGAGTGAGTAGTCCCAATCGCTTTTGCCTTTTGTTCTTGTAGATGTTCTAGATCTGGACTTCTCTTTTTGGATTTTTGTTCGAGTCGGTCAATTGATTTTCTTATACGCTTTCTTTGCTTTGGATTGCTATATTTTATTGAAGAAGTAACCGAGGCGCGACCGCTTAAAGATTTAAGTTCGATTACTTGAACTAACTCCGTGATGTGAAGAGGATGACAGTCTTGATTCTTGAACTTGAAGTTTTGCCGGTTCTCTGTAATTATTCAGATCTGATCCTATTTCGTGTTTTCTCTGTAGAATTACTGGCAACTTAGTAGTGAAATTTTGTCGGTTAGTTCTGCTTGTTCATTCCCCTGAAAATTACCCTTATTTTTAGCATCGAATTTGTGATTCATTTTTCATGTCGGTAGCTACTCATCAGCTTCTTTGAGTGTGCCATTTTGATCGGAAGTTGCAATGGACAAATTACTTGATCATTCTGTCCTTATGGTCTCATCTTGGAGTTTAAAAGATGTTGGTTTAAATTCTTGATTCCTGAACTTTTATCATATACTCTTTTGCCCTTAATTTTGAAATATTTTGGTTTGTTCTCTGAACTTTGTTAAATATACATTTCAGTCATTCTTGTTAAATTTTCATAAACCTAAGCGTGAGATTTCTGTTGAATGCCCTACTGAGATTTAATGTCGAGGACTAAAATGGATTGAAGTGAAAATTTTGAGGGCCACCATAATAGAATATTTGGGAATAAGATCATGGATTAAAATGTTAACTAAGGGAGAAGAGATGTTTTTAAGGTGGAAATGTTTCCCATGTATGAGATAAAGTTGTGTTGCGATGGGGTTCGTTTGGGTGGATGCTTATTGATGTAGTAAACCTTGCTGCTTGTATTGGATATGATGAACATATGCTACTGATGATGGAGTGGAGTGCCTATGACTTCTCATTTGCTCAATCACATAGGTTTCGTCACTACCATTTCTATTGTTGACATGTTCATTTCTTTATGCCCATAACCACTGTGAGAAGGGACCCTCGAGTTCTTTAGTAGTAAGAGTAAGGTTTTCAAAAGGCGTAAAACAATTCTCCAAATACCACTTTGATGTTACTTGTGTGCGAGTATCATTTGATCAAGAAACCACTTAGTCAAAAGATTCAACATGTTGAGTTGAATAGGTCATAGTGTATCTGGATAGGACTTTTTACTAGAGGAATCCAGTTGATTAGTATACAACATAGCTTACAGCCAAGTTTCAGTTTTGAGTTCAGAACAGGCGAATCACCTGGAGAAGTTGAAGGGGCCTCCTGTAATTGACCTGATAGTGATACAATGTGGACACATTAATCAACTCTATAAGTTGTAATTCATTAGCTACTTCATGCTTGATTTCTCTGTTCTACTGTTTATGTCTTAAAGTTGCTCTCTTTCCCTCTTTAGTGATGAATTTAATGCATATATACCTAATTGCTTAAAATGATCAGTTTTCATATCTTCATTCACATCATTATGCAGCTCATTCCGATACAACCGTGGCAAGGATGCTAGTCGGGAACAAATGCGACTTGGAGAACATCAGGGACGTGACTGTTGAAGAAGGCACGCAACTTGCGGAGGCCGAAGGATTGTTCTTCATGGAGACATCTGCTCTAGATTCAACAAATGTTAAAAGGGCTTTCGAGATCGTGATTCGAGAAATATACAACAATGTCAGCAGGAAGGTCCTGAATTCCGATACCTACAAAGCAGAATTATCCGTCAACCGCGTAAGCCTCGTCAGCAACGGCGGATCAAAGCAATCTGAAAGCTATTTGTCTTCTTGCTGTTCGAGGTGATGTTCATATCTCAGCTCCAAAAATTGAGTGTTTTCACCATGTTGGCCTCTTAGATTCTGTTTTTGGTTTGGTGATTCAAATTGGTTGTCTTTCTTTGTTTGTTTCCTTTATAATTTCTCTCAGGCTCCTCCAAATGCAATGTAAGACCATTTCCATATATAGAAATGAAATTATTTCTTTGAATTTAATTCAAGAAGAAACACTTTTGTATTAATTATTATTTGAAGCAAATAGTGACAGAGCAAATATCAACAGTTTATTATTATTTTTTTTTATAATTAATTTTTCATTTTGTAAAGTTAGTTGTACTTGGAGATCTTTGGATAAATCATGATCAAGAGGATCTTCTATGTTCAGAAGTTCCAATTATTTGTTTATTTTTCTTTCTTTTTTCTCCTTCTGTGGGGCCTGTTTTCATATTTCTACAGATTTTTCACTGTAATAGCAGGTCCTTTTTTTTTTCCGGAGAAAAAAAATAATGTTTTATGTATAATTATACTCTGCTTTTTGTTTTCTTTTTTAATTTTTTTTCTCATTTGATTCTGTCTCTTATTTTGACCATTTAAAATTAATTCCTTGAATTATAAATCTAGTCCTAGTCTTTTAAACTTCAAATAATCTTATGGTTTAAATTTCATTTCTGTCCTTACTTTGTTGCGTAACTTTTAAATTTTCTAATTTGGTTCCTAAACTTTCTGTTTTATTGTATTTTATTTTAGTTAGTGAACTTTTAAAATATTAATAGTAAAACAAACAGTTGACAAAATATTAAAAGAATTTATCAAAATATCATAAATATGGACATAAAATTAATAGTAATAACTTTAACTCATTTTAAATGTAATAATTTTAACTTATAAAATAATGAAACACTTATTTGTTAATTTAAATGGCTTTTTTTTTAAGAATTTCTTAATTTTTATTATTTTTTTTTTCATAAATAAACATTAGTATCGACTTTTTTATAAATTTGAGATTTCTAATATTTAAATTAATATCAACATTTAGTACCTTGAGAGATTATATCAAATGCTATCAATTTCTTAAATTGATAGATTGATTGAGTGTTAATTTTTTTTTACTTAATGAAATTTAAATAAAAATAATTTGTTAGTATTATATTGAAATTTCTGGCAGATTTGAACAGCCTAGAATTTGGGTGGAAATTTTGAACGGTAGCTTCCTTTTCTAGAATATTTAAAAATATGTTTTTTTTAGTGATTAAAAATATAATTGCAAATATTTAATGGAAAGATCCTTGAAATAATTTTAAAATTTTGTCAATTAAACTATGTTTATGTGTGGAATTGAGCGATGTTTGACGTGGACAAGGTCGGCCACGTGGGAGAATTGACTTGCCTTAACGAGAAATGACCTACCCAAGAGGGCAAACTCTTCGACACTCAAGTCAGTAAATAGTTCAGACTCAATATAAAGTTTGAGGAGAAATGCAATGCCTGGTGTGGAAATGGTGCCGTCTATTTATAGATCGATGATTCGACAGATCTTCCGACAGGCGGTTATTCATGTCGGAGATCATATCGGATATGTTGGAGAATTATGGTCGAACCAGGTGGTAGGTTGGACATCAAAACAGTTGTCGTGATCCGCATTTGATTATGGACTCCACCTCGTCGAACAGCTTTGAGGTGGACCTAGGTGAAGACGGTTTCCAGATATACCAATCTATGTCCTCCATATAGCACTACGATTTTCACCTCCAAACAAACTATATAGAGATGAAGATTTGGACATGTGACTTTTAAGACAAATGTATCATGCATTAACCAATTAATCTAGAAAATTTTAGAAATCATTGATTAACTTAAATAATGGTAATTACTATGTTTTTGTTTTATTCGATTATCATGGGTTAACATATAAATCCACCATTAACTTAGATTTTGATTAAGTTACATATTAATTTATTGCAACTACTAATTTATGCATTCTAATTTTTACTATATTTGCAATTATTTGTTTTAATTATTTTTTCACAACATTTTATTTAAATTATGCTATAGCTTGAATTTAGAATTTTAGGGTGATGAGTTAAATGTCATTCTTTTATTACGATCCCTACTTTTGAAAGTTAGGAATCTATGAAAATTAACAATCTATGACTCTGTGGCTAGAAAAAAATTGAATTGAAATTTGAATAGAAGAGATTCTCAAAAGAGATGAGTATAAATTTGAACCAATGAGCAAGTTGGAAAATGACAAACCAAAGTGTGATACGAGAAATAACTTCTTACCGCGAGTGTAAACCTTAAGTTTTAATGAAATGGTAAGTGACTATCGATATCATCCACGATATTAGATTTCTAGTTTATTCAAATACCACAAATACAATCGCTCAATTTTATCTAAAGAAACAACAGCGGATTTATAACACAATTAATAAAGAATAATGCAACTAAGATTGAATATGCAACTAGTCACAAATCATTCATGTCTCTTCTAAGCACAATTAATTCTCTCACTTAATATGAAACCAATATTCATATCTAGTTTCGTTAACAAATAAGGCCTTGAGTCTACTTCTTTTAATAACTTCTAAACAATTCTAAATCTCCCGATCTTAGAACTATCCTAGTCATACATTCAAGTTCCAATCTAAACCCACGTCTCCCGAGCATAAGATTCAGATTTATCAACAATTAGTTTGTGATAAAGAGATTAAAGATATTAAGCAAATAAATGCACAAAATAGATTAAGAACAAATCAATCCAGACAAAATTCAATCAATTTAATTCATAAATCGAGTGGCTACATTAATTCCTAAGACAAGAAATGTAGTTACTGTTCATGAAAATATAGAAAAATCCCAACAAGGGTCTCATTACAAAAACTTGAAAAGTCAAGGAAAATGAGAAAGACTAAATTTGTTGTGTCAATTGATCGTCCCGAATTCAATCTCCACGATCACAACCTTTAGACCGTCTCCCTCGTTCTTGTCTCTCGAACGAACTTAATCTTTTTTGCAAAAGTCCTCCATTCTTAACGGTGGTGCTCAATATTTATAAACATTGCGACAGTGTTGAAATGCTAAGGGCAACGTCTCAACACTACACCCTAAATAAACTAGGAATCTTAGTCGTTGTATACTTAAATAAATGAGGAATCCAAGTCGGAGCATCAAGACGCTACAACGATTATGCGGGATTGAGCTTCCATGTTCATAGCGTGGAGATGCTATGGGGCAGTGTCTCACTACCCCAGGACTTGGCTGCATGTGATAGCACTGAGACGCTCTGGCAACGTCTCAACACTATTTCCTTGGATTCTTGACTTCAAATTTGCAACTATATATAATTTCGTGGGTAAAATTAATTCGATTTTCGTTAATATCCGTAAAAATGAAGAATCCTAATGAAATTTGTCAATTATTCACATTATGGACACTTTTTGAACAATTAGATCTCAAAATAACATGAAATAGACTCCTTTTACTCTTGAAATCAAGAGTTATCAGGTGTTGGAAAAAAAATGGAAAACTAAAACATTTGAAAAGGAATTGCTAGATGCGCAAGAAGAATGTGAGCAAGAAAGCTCTACATTTACACAGTTCTCTTATAGATAATTAATTTAGGTGCGTCTTTTCACATTCCTATTCGAGTGTGGAGATATTTCAAATAAATGATTATTCATTTAGAAATAGAAAATAGTTCTATGAAAAAACATTCATTAAACATAGTATTGTTTAACATTAAGTAATATTAATTTATAACTTCTAAAAGTTGAAAAGAAAGATTTTGAGCAAATGTGTAAACAATTTGAAATGGGGAAAAGGAGAGTGGGAAATTCACATTTTGCAATCAAGCTCACTCAAGATTATTCTAATTTTGACAATTTTGTGTTGTGTTCCCATCATCTTCAATCCAATAATTTCCCAATCCAATTAATACAAGGAATAATTGTAACTCAAAGACCAAAATAAAGTGAGGGGGAAATTGTTCTTTTTTCTGAGTGAAATTTCACCAAACTCAAATCTATTTCTCAATCATTGTGAGCTGTGATCACTTCAATATATAGTAAATTGATGACACTAATTATTCTATGGTTTCATACCATAAAATTCGAGCATTTTATATCATAAAGTTACCTTGTGCTGCCAACCTGAGCATAACTCAATCAGTTAATTAAGGTAAATTTGAGGTTTGAATATTTGCCTCCCCACGTGGTTGAACTCAAAAAAAAAAAAAATTATTATATTATTTTGTGCTTAGAGAAGATATATTAAATTAAACCAGTTATTTATCTTATTCCATCCATTGCCCTTACTCCCAAAATAAAATCCAAAGTGGCGCCGATGCATCATTTATATTATGTAGGTTCTTGATCATATTATGCCCTGCAAACTAACACGAACAATTCGTTTTCACGAAATCTTAATATGTTTAACCCTGCATATCATTTGGCTTCGTTTGGGCTTCCTCTTTTACACTAACGACAATCACTCCCCTCCGTCTTCAACCTCATATATCACACAAATGTACTAGCCTAATGCCCTTAGCAAATATGGTTTTGATGACTTAACCATAGTACTAAATAAACTTCATCAAGTTAGAGTATACATTTCAGCTAATTAAAGCATCAATTACATTTTCTTATAAAGTCAACCGGAATATAGCTCAACTGGTTAAAAACATACATCATCGACTAAAATTAAGTCAAAGGTACGAATCTCCACCCCTGTACTATTATTTAAAGATCCAACATTCAAATCCTCGTATCCATTTGCAATATTATATTCTTAAAGAAATGTAAAAATGAGTACTCCATTGGGAGA